AAATCTGTCTCACAAAAATATATATATATATATATATATATATATATATATATATATACATATATACATATATATATATATATATATATATATATATATATATATATATATATATATATATATATATATATATACAGTTTCCAGTTGTTGTTTTTTTGTTTTTTAAAGTGCCTTCAGAAAGCTTCAGAGTTTATTTCCATAAAAAAGGTGCCTTCTAAGTAATAACATACTCAGATTTATGAAGTTATGCTCACTAAAATTGCACAAGTTAATTTAACATTAACAACAATTTCAAGTAAGGAAAACAGATTAAGTTTTACAGTGCATCTTTTAAAGTGACCTTGATGATGGAACCCGACTCAGGGAGACTCCGGGTCCTCCACCTCCAACGCTCTGGACGCCACATCGAGTTTTTTTCTTTTAAAATAACTCTGTCTGGATTTAATCCACCTGTACATCACCAAAATAGCTGCAGCACAGAAACATGTAGGCGATATAAGTGAAACGTATCGGTGTGCACGCGCGGCCTCGACGGCTGCTGTAGCTTGTAAGAGTACAAACCTCATTAGGGGAATTATAGCTATAATGGACTGGAGGGAACGGCTGACTGATTCCGAAACTCAGCAAGATTTATGTCCCCGTCTTTACAGGAAGTGATGTAGCTAAAGCACACATGCGCGCGCGCACACACACACACACACACACACACACACACACACTGTCCTTGGTCATTGTTCACGTTATGAGATTAATTTCTAATCATTGCGGTGTTCATCAGAGAAATGGCAGAAAAAAAAACAACCTTAAACGCTGAATATTTAATGTTTTCTTCTTGAAATCGGCCTGTCCTTTTTGTTTCCTGTGAATTTCAACATAATAAAAGAAAAAAACAAAAAAGACAAAGTGGTTCTCTCTCTCTCCCTCTCTTTTTCTCTCGAACTTACTCGCATACTATTTGGCCTTTGTCCACTAGTCAATGCAGCGAGCACTGCGGCGGAACCTATTACCCACACGTCACTGCATCTTGGAGAAAAAAAAAAAAAAGAATGTGTTAAAACACTGGCGTCTGATCAATTGACCTCCATCAGCTGCCGCTCTCGGCATTCCCGCCATCACTCACGCAAATAAAGCTAGTGTGCTTTTAAACAAAGCCTGTATGTTTGGTTAAATGGCGCAGAGTTACAGCTAAAGTAAACATTTCATCTTTACGTGCGTCTGTACCTTTTTTATATTTACTCAGCCAAAAACACCAGGGAACCTGGTTCAGATTTTTTTGGTTCTGGTTCTCGTTTGAAGATTGACAAAAATGAGGATTGTAGAGATGTTGGTATGTGTGTGTATGTTGACACAGACAAGAGAAAATAAAACATCTTACAAAGACCCTGGAGATGACACTTGTGTTAAAAATGATGCTATATAGCCTCATATGACATTACACTTCCAGGAGCTTTGTAGCCGACAGCCATCTTGATAGGCAGTTGCTATGAAGTTTCTATGACAATAATAAGCCACGAGCTTTAACTAGCTCTGACAATTTTTGAGTACTTTACTCAATTTCAGTGCTATTTACTGTAGAAATTGCCAAACTAGCAAAATTAGCATAGCTAATGTAGCTTTTATCTGTAAGCTAAGACAGACACATAGCCTACGTGTTTGTTACTACATGTGCTCACCAGAACCTTTTCTAAAAATTTTCAGTGCTATTTACTGTAGCACTTTATTTCTCTTATTAAGTACTTTAGCAAATATTTTTTTAAATAAATTTTAAAAAATAAAATATTGAAAAATAAAAATCTCAATTATGACTCAGTTTAGTTTTATATTCTATAACCAGTGTAATAAACTCTTATTCCAGTTGCAGTTCAGGTCCCTGTTTGAATTAGCTGGTGTGTTCAAGCAGGGATCAGAACTGCTGAAAATGATCACACTGATTCAACAAAATTAGAAAGATTATTTGAAATCGCACTCCTTTCAGAGGAAACTGAGTAGATGTGAGGAAATTCCTTGAAATTATTGGCACAAAACATTCCCAACGTGGGTCAAAGCGAATGCATGCGAGTGTTGGGTAAAACTGTATTCGCTCTGTTTTTTTTTTTTTTCCCATTGATCTTACCATGTATTGCTGATGTTAGAGTTAACTGGCTTTATGGTAGAAAACAGATCACCTAGCGGCAAAAAGAACCTGCCATCGACTCTTTGAGCCATTTTTATGTAACATTGTCTTCAGGCATTGTTTTAGCCCTCCAAAAAAACTTCCTGAGACGTTTTTTACTTAACACTTCCCACTGAAAGTGCTTAATCACGGCGGTGTCAATACACCTATAGAGTCACGCTTCCATATAATAGTCCCAGCAGAGTCAGCGTGCTGCTGGCGAGGATCCAGGAACACAGTTCATTATATCCTATCAACGCAGCCCTGAAAACAGAAAAGACTCCTCCTCATGCATCACTTTCCCCTCCTCTCCTTTTACACCCTCTCTCTCTTTTGTTTTCTCTTTACGTCCCTCCAGTCCTCTGCAGTATACCCTCACCTTTCGATTATCTCTGACACAGGCCACATAAATCAGGAACACGCTACAGCTCTCATCCTCCTAATCTTTTTTTCTTTGCTCCTTTTCCCTGATTTCCAGCTCTCCGCACCGGATTGATTTTATTTTGCTCGTTTGGCTCTGATCAGCCGACGCACACCTCATCCGTATCCCTGCAGCAACAAACACCTAAGAAATAAAATGTTTTTTTGTTTTTTTGGGTTTTTTTGCTTCTGCTTCGTAAATCTCAGTGAAATCAATGTAACAAATATTGATTAGGCATAAATGACATTAAACATTTTCCTCTAACTGAAGATTTCACAGTACCTGAATGATACTTATGTGTTCCACATGTTTTTTTCTTAACTTAATGTACAATAACAAATGTCGAAGCCCTTGGAAAAAATGTCTTTTTCACATTTTCCTGTGATCAAACCTTCAGATTCAGCTAATTAAAATCCAAACATTTAAAAAAATCATGGGCATACTTCCTTTTTTTAAAACACAGAAAGTCTGTTAACTTCAGTTGTTAAAAAATGCTGTATATGTAAAATATGACTTAAAAGAAATGTTACTTTGTAATTTGACACCTTGAAATTGGGTCTCTGTCTCTTTAAGAAACTCCTGCTCTTTCTGAAGCTCCACTTTCAGGAAGTCATCACCACATGGCTCCTCTATTAACCCTTCAACAACATTTTTACCAGCGTTTCACCCAGAAGTAGCTCCTATAATGAGCTCAGCAGTTCCACCAGGTGATTGCTAATTGCTGCTGGCTAGTCTGAAGGAGCTGAGTGGGCGAGGGTTACTTTGAAGCTTAGAAACTGCAGCTTCGAGGAGGAGCTTCGTCCTTGAAGGCAGAGCTAGATCCACCCAGGTCCAGCCTGAATGGCCGCCATGGGAGATGAAAGGATTTCTCACAGATGCATGAAAGAATCAAAGTAACACTCCAAGTATGTTTTTGATGAGAGAACAACATTATAACATGATGTAAAGTTGGATTTTACATCATTTTGCCCCTTTTAAAAAGTCAAGGTCTGAATATTTTTGCAAGTCAGTGTACGTTTCATGTCTACTGCTGCTCCACCTACACAGCCACCTGCTATCTGTTTGCTCCCTGAAGGCCGCCTGCTTTGTAAATAATCCCTGCAAATGAGAAATGATATGCAATGCCCTCCACATATTATGTGTCGTATAATAATGTATGGACTTCAGACTGACATTAAAACCCATTCAGCTGTTTTTTTTTTTTTGTGTGTGTATCCTAGTCATTAGGAATATCATTAACATTTCATTATGTCCTAAATTATTCCTGCAGGCTTGAGCAATGCTGGCTCTCTTATCCAACAGTCCAGCTTCTCTCTGTCTCTTGATTCTTAACTAATGCAGTCTTATTTTGCTCAAGGTATTTCACCCATTTGCAGATCTATAAAAAGTCATTCACAGTTTTACCTCCACCCCTCACACTTGGTTAGTGTAATGGATTTTTATTATGGCGTAAAAGATCTCTACAGTGTAGGATGGAGACCCAAGGGGATGCTACACAACAGACAGAGAATGATGCTGCTCGCTTGTGTGTTCGTCTTACTCGAACTTTTACACTCTGCTTCTTCACTTCAGTTGAAGTCGAGGAAGGAACCACAAGCATTTTAATAAACAGTGGCTCTCAAAAGTCTAAACATCCCTAATAAAAAAATAAAAAAAAAAATATGTATAATTTCACTGAACTCCAAGCCAGAACCGCACGGCATTCTGGGAGATATATAGGTAGAGAAAAGACTTTAACCGCTCAACCTCTCACGATTAGCTAAGCCAGGTTGGCGACACTGACTAACTCACTTGCTCTTTGGTTATCTAGCAACAAAGTGTTGAATAACTTGCGCAGCAGAAGTTTCTGGTTTTGTCACCATGCCTCAAAACTGCTTAAACATAATACAGGTCACACCACCAGATATTTCAGATATTTAAAACAAAAATCTAATCTCTAATTATCTATATTGACCGATATGAAACGCTTATATCGTGATGCGTTTTTCAGCTATATAGTCCAGCTCTACATTCAATGTACGCATCTTCAATAGTCCTGGCACATCAGGTTACAGAGAGCTGACACTCACCGTAGTGTGGGATGATGGCCCAGGCCATGGCTGAGGCGTAAATCCCTCCGATCATCCAGAACATGCAGAGCCAGCTCAGGTGCTCGCCTCGCTTCTCCCTGGCCAAGACCTCCGCAAAGTACGAGAATACGATGGGCACCGCGCCGCCAATCCTGCAAAGTCATTGTATCACATGCTTCAGATGTTTCAAATATGTTATTTCATCTTAGACGAGATGTATGATGATCACTGTGCATCATGAGCTTTCACTCAGCGTTCGTCTCTAACACTAGCTGCGTTTCTGTTCCAAATTTGCGCAAAACTTTGTTGTTGCACTAATGCCAAAAAACATAATTTTGCAATCGCGGTGTTTCCATTAAATTAGAAACACAATTAAAATCACACGCGAAAAGGTTTGTTCAAGCGATAAGTCATTAAAACATGCTGCACCATCTTCCTCCTGCTACTTCCTGTCATCTGTTCAGTCGTTTCCACTAGTTGTAAAATGCAGCTGCTAATCACGTGGCTCATTTGATGCGAAAAAAGTGTCTCTGTCTCAGTTTTGAGAAACAACCCAATTTCAGTACTGAAGAGAAACGACCTAATCTTAGCGCAAAAACAGTTTTTACAAAATTGCCGTGTTTCCATTAAGCAAATTTATTTTCACGATGCCAATTTGTGCAATTATATTATCAAAGGGAACACAGCTAGTATCAACTTAATGAAAAACTGGGATCAGTTTAGTTGGTTTTCATCTGCACGTCAGCCTATGGTGGAGCATTAAGGGCACACCAAGAAAAATTTAACAAATTAAAAAGTACAGGAATAAAGTCATAATATTATAAGAACAAAGTCGTAGTATTGAGAGAATAAAGTCGAATAAAGTGAAGATAAAGGGTAGCTGGCATGCTGCAAATGTAACATGTTTTATCCATTCTCAGGTAACAAACTGAACACTGCTCTGTTAGTTGTCCAATACTTAAGATGATGTTTTATTGCTTAACTTTCTCTGACTTATCTGCTGTTCTTTTCATGATAATTTTTGTTCTCCAACAAACCTCAGACTTTGACTTCAAAGTTGGACATACGCCGAGATGAAATTACACGCAGCTGGACTGTGTGTACTGACTGGGTGGCTTCTGCTGGCAACTGGCTGGACTGGATTTTATGTAGGGACATAAGAGCGAATGGAGGTGAATAAATACGTATTCCAGACCTTCGAACACATTGTTCTGTGTCGTCCTTCTTTCACTTCACGATTATGCACTACTAAGTGTCATAATTATCAATTATGACCCTTAATCATAAAAAAGAACATGTACATTTTCACATGTACTTTCTAACGTGTCAAGAAGTACAAGGAAGTTTGTAGTTGTAACATGATGAAATGTGGAAGAAGGTCCTATTGGTGCTGGTGTTTTTTTTTTTTTTTAAAGTGTTGTGAGTCTGTAGCCGGGGACATTTCTCTCCCTTGTTGGCTTCTATCCGCTCAACTGAGTTCCATTTATTTTTTTGACAAAAAAGTGTCAAATTTTAAATACTTTTCCAACAGCCTAAACCTTGTGTTAGTGCACTGTGCTGCGGCCAGTTTGCACCTTTATGGCCTGATCTGGGCTTTACAACCAGCTGTTATACTTCAGCTCGCTTGAGCAAACAACTGTGTCGTTTCTACTGCATCCTTGCAGTGAAAGTTAATTCGCGTGAGGGAAGTGGAAACAGTCACATTTTTTCACATTCTTCCAGACATAGATATGAATATTACACGTGCTGAATCATCTGAAGGTGCCGGGCCTGGTCTGGAGGGATGGATGGATGTCAAAGCAGGTTTTGGCAAACATGGACTTCTCCGACTATTACTCAGATTTGTCGGTTAATTCTTTAGAGACAATTTGTTCCCTCATTTCAGCCTAATTACAAAGATTTCACAGACATAATCTGTGGTTCCTTTTTTTTTCTCCATCTGGCTGTTTAAGTCCCGTCTTCCCTCCTGTTTTGCTGAGGCGGTTTATGGAATCGAAGTTAATGAGGTACGGAAAAGCTTAATGAAACAAGCTGCATCCAGTTAAACTGGAGACAACACCCTCCAAAATGCCACACCTCAGCGTTTCCAGCCACGTCCCTGGCTCCAGAAAAAGGCCACCACAGATCCAAACGATGCAAAACGCCTCCAACGTCACATATTAACTACACTACTTATTAGGATTTCATTACCATGGCGATGGCTCGTAATAATGAGATACTGTCTCATGACAAGATAATCTAAAGTCTTATCAGGATTTGTAAAACCACTTCTGAAGTGTTGTTCATTGAAGTTAGCAAAATGTATTTCTTTCTTTCAAGCCAAACTTATTTCCCCCAACTCAGTAGAATAAGACAATAGCAAAGCGGTCGTCTGGGTTTCCTTGAAATTTTTACCACTTTGCATTTTGTAAACAGTTGAATTTGACTTCATTGCTGTAATTATGACAGATTTGGATTTTATCTAACTTGATCTTAATCCACCAATAATGAATGGCTTGTGTTGTGTTGATTACATTTAGAGTTAGCTTGTTGTCATATTATTAAACCGTTAGCTTCATAGCATATTTGCCTCAGCCATAATTTGGCCTCATTGAGAGTCTGTGTAATATTGATCTCCTTATACAGCTGCATTCCCCCGCCTAATTGTCTATGTCCTCAACCTATCAGGATACTTCTTAACAGTCTAAATATCATGTTTTGTAAAATATGATTGGATTTTCTCCATATTTTATGCATGTAAACTTTAAAGGGGCAGTATTGTCTGTTTTCAAGCCCCATGGTGTGATTTTATGGAACAAGCAAGTAAATATGTTACATTCAGCTGTCATAAAAACAGGACTTAAAAGAAATTTGCAATGACTTAAAATTTTGCAATATAACACGTTGAAACTGGGTCTCTGTCTCTTTAAAAACTCCTGCTCTTTCTGAAACTCCACCTTCAGGAAGTCACAACATGGCTCCTCTATTAAACCTTTAGCAACATTTTTACCAGTGTTTCACTGAAAATTAGCATGTATAATGAGCTCAAAAGTTCCATCAGGTGTTTGCTAATTGCTGCTGGCTAGTCTGAAGGAGCTGAGTGGGGCAACTTGGAAACTGGAGCTCAGAGGAGGAGTTTCGTCCTCAAAGGCGGTTCTGGGTCCAACCCAGGCGTTTTGCACAGCTGAATGGTTGCAATGGGAGATTAAAGGATTTCTCAAACATGCATGAAAGAATCAAAGCAAGACTCCATGTATGTTTTCGATCAGGGAATAACATTATATGCTGTAAATCTCAAAAAAGTTGATTTTACATAATACTGACCCTTTAAAATATGACTTCGGCAATTATGCTAAAAAGCTAACGCTATACGAAGATGGCCTGTTTAACTTTTGAAGTGCCTTAAGATGATATTTGTTGTCCATAAATAGATAAACTGAACAGAACATTTCCAAACCAATCTGGCAAACCCATTCAAGTCCGCTAAAACCAAATCTATTTGTTTCTTCAGCAGCTTATCAGCTCACATCAACGCCAAAGGCTCATCTACTGTATGAACATGCTGAAGGATAACTGCAAAGGGACGGCAAACCATTTATCAAGGAAGCTGGCAGCCGAGCTGACAACAGCTTGCAGATGTTCACCTATTGTCTGTGGTTTGTTTCTGCAAACGTGTCGGTTTTGTGCGATTTCTTTAAAGAAGAAGACGAGATGGCAGAGCAACGAGCAACGGAAGGAAGGATCAGGCTGCATATAGGGGGAAAATCCTCACAGGGGCCTTCAGAATCTCATTTCCACTGAGGATGAAGGGAAGAAGAGCGGGGAAAGTAATGAAAGGTAAAGGTTAAGTGACTCACCCAAAGCCAGACACCATGCGGCAGAGGAGGAACATACTGTAGCCTTGAACAAAGGAGGAGAGGAAGGCAAAGAAGCCGTTGACGGACATGGATATGAGCAGGCACTGTTTGCGGCCCACCTTGTCCGACAGGCCGCCCCAGAAAAACGCTCCGAACATCATGCCCAGATACACAATGCTGCCTGCAGAGAGGGGAGGAGGCAGAAAGAGAGCAAAGAGGCATATTTTTAATTACTAAATTACTAAAGCCTCAACATATTCAGCTTTTAGAAACGTTAACACTGCAAAAACACAAAATCTTACCAAGAATGTATGTTCTAGTTTCTAATATCTCAGTACAATTGAAATAAAACAAAACTAACTTACAAGTAAACTTTCCAGGAAGATATAAGAGCTTGTTTTAAGTAAATATTTACTTAAGAAAGTATTGGTTCTACTGGCAAATTATTTCACTTATACCAAGAAATTATTCCCATGTAATAAGTGAAATAATCTGACAGTAGAAATAGTATTTTTTCATCAAAATTAATGAATTGTTGTCTTAAAAGAAGCTCCTGTCTTGCTGAAAACTTATTTGTCAGATATTTGCATTAGATATTAGATATAAAAAAATGATTGGTGAGACTTTGTGTCTTTGCAGTGAAGTTGGTAACTAATCCGAACAATAAAACTGATCAGGAGCAGTACAACCGGGAATGCTGAAGCAAAGACTCAAAGAAGCAAAGCAGGTGGGAATCGTATCGTTTATCGTGATAAATTTCTTATCACAATAGGAATTCTGATTTATTGCTGTCATGATAAATTCCAATAAAATATGTTTAAAGCCACCTAAAACTGTCCGCATTGGTAGTTTTACTGTTTTTCTCCACTGTTTGTTCAATGAAAGCATCAATAAGCAGCAATACATTTGAAAACACTGTTAAATGTAGTTACTATGTGCAGCATAGTGACACAAATCAGTCATTCTTTAAGGTACAGCCATACAGTTACCTAAAAAAGCAGTAATAAATAGTTCTTATCGTCACTTTTATCGCTATCATAACAGAACTCCAAAATACTGAGATAAAAATTTAAGTCTGTATCGCCCACCTCTCGTGGGAAGTCATCTCTACAACATTTGAGATGTTGGTATCTTTTTTAAAGCAAAACTAAACTGAGTTGCTCCCAGCCACACACCGAGCAGACTACACTGATGGCACACAGAGGATCGATTAGTTGAGCTCGGCTCATAGCACTAAAATGAACCACATTGTGACTCCATTCCACGATGCTGTAGATCACCCAGACAGTGTTTTAACTGCACTGGGGGTTTTGCGATTACACTGCCAGAGTCTAATGACAGTCGATATGTCTGGGTTTGGATCAACTCTGCAGTGTGAGGATGGTACGATCAGGTTTCATTTAACTAGCCTTTACAACCACATTATAAGTACATAGGAATATGTCACAGTAACTTCTGTACGGCACGGTCACGACGCGTAAGTTTATGACTCAGCTGTTCAATTTTTATTGGCCAGGTTTTAATTATTCTGCCATTTTATTAGATTACAATAAAGGCTGTGAGAAAAAATTTAACCCCCATCAAGATTATTTACCTTCTTTGCTTTTCTGTCACTCTAATGTTTGGAGTATAGAAATGTACAAAAAATAGGCAATTCTTTTTTAAAACTTTACTTTATTATGTATTTATTACACTTTGAAAGGTTTAAGGACTCTTTTCATTAAGGACTTTCCAAACCACTCCGGTCTTCTGGTTCTGGTCTTCTCTACACCAAAACCAAACATGGAGAACCAGCTTTCAGCTTCTATGCACCACAAATCTAGAACAAACTTCCAGAAAACTGCAAAACAGCTGAAACACTGAGTTCTTATAAATTTAGACTAAAAACCCATGTTTCCATTTGGCTTTGAGTCGTAATATCTGGAACACTGATCAACATATTTGACATGTATTTGATTATTTTGATGATGACATTTGACAAAATGTGATGTTCATTGCTTGTTTCATAACTGGCTATTATGGAGTAAATCACTTAAGTGCTTTGTTGTTGAAATGTGTTGATGTGTAACTTGACTAATGTCCATCATTTGTTACTGAAACGCTTAAAGTTGAGCTGAAGAAGTGCAATGGAAACACTTTTTTTGCATCTCATGAGTCATGTCATCAACAACCGGATGTTGCTATTGGTGGAAAAGACAAAGAAGATGACAGGAAGTGAATGGATTATGATGGCATGGACTGTTTTCTAACAACTTATTGTGTGAACAAACTTATTCAAGTGTGATTTTAATTGCGTTTCTTATTTAACAGGAATGTCGAAATTGCAAACTTGTGTTTTTTTTGACATTAGCGGAACATTGACAAAGTTTTGAGCACATTTGTAAAGGAAACACAGCTACTGAAGTGTTCATAAATTAGTAGTTTCTCTTTTCGGCAACTCCTCCACAGGAGTTTGGAGCCTTTTTTTTTTTTTTCCACACAGGGTGGTCGTGGACAGGGGCGAGAGCTGCCAGGGCTGTAAATGGTCCACTTTATTCTGTCATGTGCTAATAAAAATGCTAATGCTAGTGGAAGTGGAGATGCGATTGTTTGATGAGGCAGCAAAGAAAATAAGCTGGTGAGGGAGAGGAGGTCTTCTGTTCTTTTTGCGCTCGCTGCGTCTCTGGTGATGGGACAGATTCACTGAGAGCAGGGGGGCCTTATCACGCTGCGCAGGCACGCCGAGAGGGAGTGATTCATTACAGGTGACAGTCACAGAATCTATGCACTGCGGCGGCAGAGGAGCCTCCTTCAGGATATGAGGAGGAGGCCGTGTGATACGGTATCAAACGGAGCGTCTGAAAATGCTGCATTTTGCACACAAAAAAAAAAAAAAAATGGCTGGCGCTTTCTGATTTGTGTAGATACACGCGGGTGCATGTTCGGGAAGAGATGGTATCTGCGGAGCGCCACCTCGTTTGTTTTATGGCCGCTCTCATGCTGCGTTGGTACGTGTAATAAAGAGGGGGGGATGGGTGTGTGTGTGTGGAGCAGTTGGGGGGAGGGCGGCAGGGTGGTTATAGCGATGGGGCATCTGAGACGCAGCATAAAAGGCTTCTGAGATTGGATTTGTGATTTTCTGTTAGGGTTCAAACTGGGGTCAGACCTTGAAAGCTTTTATGTATATTTGCAAGGGTCAGTTTCGAGCACCAGAGTGTAGCGGTGGCAGTATCACGTGTTTGACGCAGTTAAGCAAACACTTTCACCATGTCTGTTTTATAAAGTACATCACAACTATAAAGCAGTTTACCTTTCCAGGTAATTTGGATAAGCAATAGTCCGTTCATAAATGTAGAGTTTAAGTAAATCACGTAGATTAAAACAGGTGACCTCAGCACTTTAAAGGGACAGTTTTAAGTAAAATCAACTTTTTGAGCTTTACATCTTGCTATATATTACTTCCTCATCAAAAGCACACATGGAGTGTTGCTTTGATTCTTTCATGCATTTTTGAGAAATCTTTTAATCTCCCATGACAACCATTCAGCTGTGCAAGACGCCTGATTGGACCTAGCTCCGCCTTCGAGGATGAGGTTCCTCCTCGGAGCTGCAGATTACAAGCTTCTTCCTCACAGAGGAGCCTTTCCCTTCCTACTCCTCCACTCAGCTCCTTCAAACTAGCCAGCAGCAATTAGCAAACACCTGGTGAAACTGCATATCGGCTGAGAACATTATGGGAGCTACTTCTCAGTGAAATGCTGGTAAAAATGCTGTTAAAGGGTTAATAGAGGGTTGTGATGACTTCCTGAAGTTTCAGAAAGAGCTGGAGTTTTTTAAAGAGACAGAGGCTCAATTTCAAAGTGTTAAATTACAAAGTCAAATTTCTCTTAAATCATATTTAATATACAACAAGTGAAGTTAACGTAGTTACTTCATTGCACATGGAAAACACATAATACTGCCCCTTTAAAAATCTAACTGAGGCCAGTGAGAGTAAGAACAGCAGAAATAAGACGAAAAGATGCCGTTTATTTCCACATAGCTAGGACTTCATGAAAGCATTACTATTCAAGTAAAAAGAGTAAAGATGACGTTAATATTTTCATAAAGCAAGAGGAGGGGTGCATTTGTTAACTTTATTAACACTAAACAGCTCTGTTTTTGTTTCCGGTTCTTAAGCTGACTTCAGTGGTCTCCCTGCGCTGCTTTTTTCCACTTTAATTAGCTCTTATGTGTAAGCGCGAGTCTTTCCCGGCGCCTCAGTTTCTGCTCTGTTTTTCTCTCCTCGCAGCCACGCAGCATCCTGACATGGATGAGAGGAGAGCGCGGGCAGACAGACAGACAGAAAAACAGACGGCCTGCGTCACAGGCGAGTCGAGCGCTTACTTTCTCAGCTGGAACGCTCGAGACATTAAGCGAGCGCTGAGGGGAACCCCAGAGGACCACGTGTGACTGATGGGTGGGCTGATGCAGGCGGTGAGACAGACGAGGAGTGGCGGTGAGAGAGAGAGGAGAAACCCCTCAGGTGCAAATCACGGTCCTCAGATATTAATTACTTTAACACCTGCTGATTTGTTTTTCCCCTCATTGGGGTTTAGTTACTGTTTTCTCTCCCTCTAAGTTCTGTCTGACTATTGATAGCATGTACAGCAGTACTGAGCCACACATATGCAATACATTGAATATGATTTCAGATTGTTGTGTAACTTTTATCCAGGTTTACTTAAAAAGTGAGCGATTATGGCTACAGATTAATTTCCTAAGCAGGGGGCGCCACCGGAGGGCGCCACCGGAGGGCGCCGGAGGAGCGGCCTCAGAAAACCTGAAGAAAAAAATGCAAAAATATAAAGAGTTAATCGAACACATTTTTTTTAATCAAATCTCTTTTTCAGTCACTATTGAAAAATTATGGCTTTATCGAACATTATTGTTTTATCTTTCTGATTGGCTGCCAGTCAAATTTGTCGAGCTGCTTTGCGTCTCAAGCTAGCGTAGCATGGCCAACTAAAATCAAAAGGTGTGAGGCGGGACTCATGCTAAACAAATGTATTAATTATTGAGAGTAGATAATAAAAGTGGGGATAATAATTCCAGCGGACGTAAACATGCAACATATTTTTATAGATGTCAATAAATATCAGTTGTTGAGACTGGTCCGAATGTTCATATTGGTGCACCACTGATTCATTTTTTTGTTGGGGGCAGGCAGAGATAAATTATTATATTCTATTATGGTTAAGAGCACACTTAAATCAATACCATATTACATGTAGTTCTGTAAAAAAAACAAAAAAACAAAACAAACAAAGTTGGCTCTTCCTCTTTGTTCAGACTATAGCGATGCAGGAAAACACCCACATCCGAGCCATATGTCGTGGAGCACCAAATAAAAGGGGGGGGGAGGGGAGTGAAAGCAGCGCTCTCGCTCTCCCTCCCCTTTTTCTCCAGGGAGGTACGTGAGCCAGTCTACCATGGCTAAACTGCAGTAAAGCACAATGCTGCAGAGATTAACCCAAGCCCATATCGTCAGATCACCAGCATGGCTATGAGAGCCGGAGAAGCTCTGAGAGAGCATTAAATGGATTATACTGTGAGGGTGATGGAGAGGAAACACAGGAGAAGAAGAAGAAGACGACAATCTGCTATCTGATGGTATCTCAACTTAGATTATAACATGAGGAAGAGGCATTTTATTCATATCTTAAAATTATTATAAATGAATGCTAATAATCCCTTACAATAATTCAAGATGAATGTTTATACGGGTCAAAAAATGTTTTAGATAATTTTTTTCTCTTTGATTTATTTACACATAAAAAGTGTGCTAGCAGTTGTCTAAACACAGACCTCTAAAGAGGAACACAGTGGCGTTTTGGCAGCGTTTGGAGCAGTAAAGCTCAGTTAAAATGATGTAAATGAAGTTTGAATGAAATGGAAAAATTGTTGGAGGAAATAGTTAGATCTGAACTATAAGACTAGACACTATCGTCTTTATAGTGAAAAAAAAGACTGTCAAGTTTACAGCACAATCAGCAAAGATCCTTTGATCTGATGAAACAAAGATTGACTAATTTGGCATCAATTCCTCAGGATCTGTGAAAGGACGAGAACAACTTATTGTTTAAAAGTGCTTCCTGTGATGAACTGCAGGCTAACATTAGACACCAGCTAAACATTGACTCTAAGCTAACATTCCTGCAGATAAACTCCGACTTTCAATGTAATCTATCAGTTCTGCTGTTTCCTCCTTTCAGACAGAAGACGCTCTTATCAAGCGCTTCTCGAGTCGCTGACCTTCTCACAGGATCGGTGATAAAAGCGCCAATTGAGTCCATTGTGTACGGTTTATCCTTCACAAGTGAGCGTGTACACACATCCATTATTTATGCTGTGTGTAAGCCAGCTGGTAAAATGACTCATTCTTTCTATTCTTTCCCTCCTGGCTCCCACTGAGAGATGAGTCACAACACGGGATCAGTCCGGGTGAACAGCAAACCGTCCCGCTCTTCAAAGGGAAGCGTTCGCCTCCGTCTTCGGTCAGAACAATCTCGAAATTGTAACACTGCGCCGGCAGAAACGGTACTGTTTGTCTTGTTGTCTGTGTAAAGACTCCAATATTAGTGTAAACTGAAGGAAAAAAATATTGTGCTTGAAGTTATTTTTGATATCAGTGAGAAAACAGGAAGACAAGCGGCACACATTCAGAGTGATGACACCCCCTACTCGTGCATCCAAATACCTGGTGCCATGACAACTCCATGACTGCTTCTACATTATTCAAATTATGGACTCAAAGTGTCAATTTTTGATGTCATCTGTATAAAACAAGATATTATTCCTGAAGTCATGATCTTTGTTTTCTTTGTTTTTGACAAACTTCAGTCTAGCGTTTTACGTGTTTTTCTTAGAGGGCTAAAGCCAGTGTTTCCATATCAGCAACACTGACTTTTGAAAATGCTTGGTTGAACAAAAGAAAAAGAATGTTAAAATTTGGGCTGCTTTTCACAACATTTGGTGGGTTTCAGAAAAGTTTCAGAGGAAAATCATTTAGAAATAAGTGTCTGTGGGGCAGAAAAGCACAAAATGTTAATAAAATGCCTTGTTATTGCACTTATGTTATCTCTAGAATATGTTGAATGTGACATCACCAATGGTTAGTGGTTAGTTATCCATGTGTCACTATGTAGTAGTATTGTAAGACAGAAATCATCATGAGCAACATCATGATTTAAAGGGATATCGTCAAAAAATTTAAGTCTGGTGTTAAAAGAGTCAAGTCCTTCTGGAGTTGTGTGGATTTTACCCAAGTGTTTTGCACAACTGAATGTTTGCCATGGGAGATTAAAGGATTTCACTCCAGGTATGCATAATATCATAACATTATGCAAAAGTCAATTTTACAAAACACTGGACGTTTAAAAACCCACTGAGTAACATAAAGAAGAATGGCTTGCGGTGGTTTCACACATTCATACAGCATCATGTGAAGAGACCACTTACCGAGCCATCCTGCGCCAGAGTTGGGGATGCACATGTCCGTCTCAGCACTGGGCAGGACGAACCCCACCACAAACACTTCCACGCCGTCAGACATGAGCGCCAGTCCGAGCACGAAGAAAAGCTGCCACTGGAACCTCCCGTGGCCACACTCCTGCATGATCAGCTCATACTGCTGAGCCAGCTCCTCCTCGTCGGCCTGCCTCTCGTTTTCCAGCTCCTTCTGGCTCTTGAGGCTCTTTAGGCCCAGAGCCACCTGCCCATCCCGGGGATTTTCATTGTTGGAGGCCGGCACGCCTTGGTACTCGCCTTCGTAGATCTCATCTTCATCGTCGTGGCCCTCAGTTGCGTCGCTGGACGCCCCGTCCTCGTCGTTGGCTGCGTTGTCGCCATATTGGCCATCCGGCTGATTGTACGCATTGTAGTTGTCCTCATCCTCGTTGTGGAAGCGGTTGTAGCTGCGTTGGGCAGAGTATTCGTCAGAGGCACGATCAACAGCTTTGTTGAAATTTTTGGAAGCATGCCTCTTGGCTTCCTTTGCGATGTCCTTGGCACCTTTGACCAAGGAAGTCCTGTTGTTAGGTGCTTCATCCATCTTGGCACAAGGAGAGTTGGCACTAAATGTAAATTTAAAGTGTCTCTTTACTTATTACTGATGATTTATCTCAAGGTAGGGTGAGATGCTTTATAAGCTTTGAGAAAGTAACCAGCAGCCAGGTAACTAATGGTTAAACAATCATATCTACTTCCATTGGATGGGCGTTACCAGACAGAGTTCAGACGGAGACCCTATCCGAATTCTGTCCACTCAGAACTCAGCAGAGGGAATCTGTGGGGAGAGAAAGAAAGAAACAAACATTTTAGCATGACTAAAATGTTTATCTAATCAGTAACTGCAGCCTTTCTTTCTTATAATAGCTGCAGGGGCATTTTTACACTGAGAAAGCCAAACCTTAAAATCTATAGAAAGAGACGTCTAACAGCAATTCATGTTGTGCTGAGACACGAAAAAAAGCAAAGGAAATGAGTCACTGAGAACACAATGTGTGGAGTCATTGACGTTTTGGTGAAAATTTAAAAAACACATTGACAATATATTTTTTTAGGTCGTGTGAGAACAACTTTATGGATCGGAAATGAATATTTCCCACTTCTGCTCTTAAGAACAGAGGAGCTCATTTAAATTGATAAATTTAACTTCCTTTAATGAACTTTTAAGCAAAGTTCATGCATTTTCAATGGGTAGAGGTAGGAATTATGATAATGGTATAGTAATGGTATGATACGGTTATTTATATGGTAACTGTATGGTAATGGTATGAAATACCCAGATCTTGTTGTTTAACATTTGGAGTGTTGATCCAAAGTTGAAGAATTTGGAGATCCTCCTCCGTGTTTATTATTTCACCTGTTTTGTGCAATGAACTAGCAAAAACAGATCCTTATATGAAGCTGCCTTCACCATGCTTGGCAGTAGGTACAGGGTTACAAATCATAAAACAATTGAGCTTAGGTGGATCCAAGGTTGTTTCTCTCTGTACTCTAGGTTCTTTCTTCACTCTAAGATCTGCATATTTTTAGCTTAATTTGTCTTTCTAATTTGCCCTTATGTCTGAGTGTGAGAAGATATGGTTGTCTGTTATGTGTATCTTTCTGTTGTTCTGTGAGCACCTTATATTATCAAGTGGGGATGAATGGATGGATGGTATATTACTAATTTACCGAGAAAATTTTTTAATAAGACTAATAAAAATGCATTTCAAGATGAACAAGGCTCAAAAACATCTAACATCACATTCATTGGCAGCATTGTAAAGGTCTTACGTTGACATTTTTATAATTCCGTATACAAATGCATGGTGGTTAAATAATGTGAATCCAGGCAGGTTTTGAATGACAGAGTCAAAAAAAAATTACACAAGTTGTAACAATGTCCTATTACAATTAGAATCAAATCAAAATGAGAAGCAATTTCAAACAAAAATGTGACTGACAACCGATAAGCTATGCACCTCTGTGATTAATGATGAGTTTCTTTCACATCGGTAAAACTCGCGGTCCAAGAACTGAATTGGATCTAATTACACCTCGTGTTTTGGAAGTACGTCTGGAACGTCTCCAGGACTGCAGCACTCAGAAAATTACTCATAAGCTGCACTTTGTGCTCGGCTCGCTGATGAGCTCCGTTCACACATTATTAGTTTGCTGATGGCGTGACGGGAGAGGGTCTAATCACAGACTGTAATGAACTATCACTTTGGGATTAGACGCCTTTAAGTGTGGGACGAGCATCAGCAGAGAAATTCATCTCTATCCAACCAGATCCAAAATTTGTCCAAAGTTGGCATTCCTCACACGATGATGCATATCAGACAAAGATCCGCATCAAACTCACTCTCTAAATTAAGAGCCTATGATGGGATGAGAACATCCAAGGAGGCGGGGAGAGACTAACGCCTTTCTTACATTTTTTATTTTTCAAGTTTCAGCGTTTCCCCCTAAAAAGTTGCTAATCTTAGTGGGAGGAGTGCATGGGGAGCCGACCACAGGCACAATATGTTTTTGTGTTTTAAAAAATTGTTAAAAGTTGGCAGGAAATTTTAAAATATGACAAGGTAATTATTAGCCATCCCAGACGCTGTGATTGCTCTTGCTTAGTTTAATGCATCAACTTTAACGAGCTTGACACACGACACGACAGGTTACGGTTTTAGCCACCCAGGGTGAAACCCAATAAACTATTGTGACGGCAGCAATACAAGTTGAACATTTTTCAATTTTCTTGCGTCACATTGCTGTATAAGTCTACATGCCCAAAACTTCACATGCACGAATTTCGCTGGTTGCTTGGCTGGCTGGAGGATGATTGTCACCTCACTGAGCAAGTTGCATAAGAAAGTAAATTTGAAAGAGTGACATCGCCGCCTGTAGTTCAAGCTTCAGCCTGGCAGCCCGCCAGACTCATAGTGTACTGGAGGAAACCCTTTAAGTTGTTTGGATAGAATCTTTTCTACATCTGTTCAAGAAAACATTTGCCTGGGGAACAACAGTAAAGAAACCTTTATCTTTTATTACCAACATTTCTCTAACTTTTGTAGAAAAATGCAAAGGTATCACAAAAACTAAGACAGACTTGAACTATGATTTATGACTGATTTCTCATCAGACCAATTACAATTAAGAAAATCCTTAACATGATCTAAAGTGAAGACCAGAACAAAATGTGTATGTTCTGTTTTGCAGGTTGCCAAGTTGGCATATATGAGAACCTATTTTAAGCCATAAGTAATATAATTTTGAAATTATTAGAAGCATGCCAATCTGTTAAATTCTGTACTGGGTTACGTCACAGCTGGAAATGCATGTCAGCCTGTAAGAGTGGTTTTCCTCTGGGACTTCTGTAACATGACAGTGGCATGGCCTCTTAGAAAACCTGCCAAGTCAACACATCAGTGCGTCTCCTAGATCCCACTGCTGCTGGAAGAAAATAATCAAGCTTTAGGCCCTGGTAATGCAATCTGGAACATCAGCATTACTTTGTTACTGGTGGAAGGCAGGTAAAACAATCAGGTAATTCTCCTTCTTAGGAATAGGTCCAGTGCAAAAAAAAAAAAATGAATTAGTATTTTACCAAATGCTGAATCCTTCAGGATCAATTCAATGTTTCCAGAAGAATCTTAAGTCTTTAACAGGAGCTAAGCGTGGGTTTAGCTTCCAGTTGGAGCTTGGCAGGTTGATAAATGGCGTTTCTGGTCACCTTTGTTGCTCGGCAGGATTAGATAAGACATCGCCTGGGATCTGTCATTGAACATCCAAGCACCAGGGGCTCGGCATAAAGCTGCCCCGAGATGGCTTGGCGCAATGCAGCAGCCAAATGAAAAGTGTCCTAACTAACTTTGTGTGTTGCCAGATGATGGGACACAAACCGCTTGAGGCTGTGAATGCATCTGTGCGTGAAGCCAAAGAGAGAATCCTCAGTGCTCAGCACATTTTAGACAACAGCGGTTTTAAATGTACTTTTTATACGCGTATATCAAGGCAAGCAAATGAATTTGAATGGAAAGTGAGACGGGAGACGTTTAGCGAGGTTTTATTGGTGTGCAGGGGTAATTAGGTCTACGTTGTTTGATACTTTTTCATTTGTATCAGTAATACTGTCCAAGGATGAGAACTTGAAGTGTGTTTTCTGTTTGTGGGAAAGACTGTTTAGAGTTTACACTTTTTTTCTGGCCAAGTCGTTGTTTTCACTCTACAGCAACAAGCAACATCCATTACAATTATATATATATATATAAAGACTTAAATTTTATTGGAAATGACAACCTTTCAGCAGGTATTAAGCAAACTTCTCAACAAGCCCACATCTCTATATTGATAAAGATCTTTCTATTGGTTTTTGTTGTTACCTTTCATGTCATGTTTTCATTAGCTTTAATTGTGATGAAAAATCATCACAATTAACAGAAATAAACACTTTAAAACAGCAAAATGAGTCTGCTTGTAATTTATTTTTATGTTTCTTAGTGAGGCGAGTTGCTAAAATGAATGAATTTTTAAAAATAATATTCTAATTTCCTGAATAAGTGTGTAGTAAATACTCACTGCTCTTCTATCTGAGTTACAGTCCTTTCTCATCAGCTGCTGGGTAAATGTGCTTTTCTTTTTATTTGTCATGGGACCGGCCCTAAACTCCAGTTCAACATCAACTCTGTTGCTGTTGGAAACTGATGATTCATCTTCAGTATAAAGCCACATTTACCCAGAAGTCTGAACTTGTACCGTATCTGGAATATTTCACACCCGACTACATGGAGTTCTACACCATTCAGGAATCCAATGGGGTTTGCTAACTGTTGTGCTAACTTGTGTTAGCAATAACAATAACTGTTTCCTCTAATTTCTGCACACTCAAACACTGTATTACATGCAGGCCGAATCAAAATCTTGAGACCAGGAACAAAGTTACACGTCATCACATTTTACGCTGCTGAATCACAACCAGTATGTAAGAGCAAGAGCCAGAAAACTACGGAAGCCCACAGTGGACGTTTTACGCATTTTTCTCTATGGTTTTCTCGAGATGACAAGCAAATCTTGCAAAAATAAGCTTTGTTTTGTGCACAGCGGCATGCATTTGAAGGATGGACTCAGGTTTAACACACACCAACCTGCAAACAGGTGACAAAAATCAGAGGCATTTCCATAGTTTTATCATGTGAGATTTAAGAATTGCATCTGCAAATGGAGGTGAACGGTCTATCAACTAAAGTTTTATTTAAATGCTGATTATATGATTAAATTTGGTCATTTTCTCTCAGTTCTGTTTATTCTACTTAACTTTTCTTTTAAAAAAAGGTAGAATAAGCATTCTATAAGAAGGATGTTGTCGCCTTCTGTCACCGTGCTGCCGCCAGCTTGCCACCAGGGGGTTCCCTCAGTCCCTCTCCTGACGCTCCACCTTGCGGGTGTGTCTGCACACACCTGCAGATCATCTGATCAGTTCCAGGACTATAAGAGGAGCCTCCAGCCAACACTTCAACGCCAGAGTGTTGACCCTTGTGGTAACTAAGAGCCATCTGAAAGCCTTGTGTGATAATACATTCCCGTTAGAACGTTCCCGTTCTAACCTCTCGTCTCCTTGTCTCAGGTTTGATCGAGCCCTGGACCCGGGCATAATCCGGACTCAGTCGAGCCCGCTGCCAGGGATCTGGATCTCCTCGCCCTGGAAGGTCCTTCGCCGCACGCAGCACCGAGTCGGCTCTCCTCTCCCTTGCTTCCCCTGAGCAGGCGTTCTTTGAACCCCAAACCCAGCCCCGGCATTTCTGACCT